TCTGCTTCTCCCTCTGACCCTCCTCACTCTCATGCTCTCTGTCTCTCATTCTCTCTGTCTCAAATAAATAAATAAAATCTTTAAAAAAAAAAATATTCTTGTGAAGATTTATATGCCAAGAATTAATATTTGCTAAGTGAAGACAGTTAATATCAAATTGAAAAAAAGTGGCTCTGTTAGAGTATTATTTTTAAATGGACAGATAAAGCATTTTTCACTTCAAGAAATAAAGTGTTCTGTATTAAAGCATTACATCATGTATGAAACAGACATAGTCACATGTGTTCTTTGTGATTATAATATCATATTACAGATAATATGAAAATTAAAGTAGAAAATCCATGCCTACCTTTATCACCTTTACCAGTGATGATCACCTTGGTGTGTAACCTCTTTTTTGTAGTTACTTTTAGGAGGCACAATTATAATAGTTATATAGATTGTCTACTATTTTTGTTCAATTTAGCATATCATGTATTTTTATGTTACTTATATAATGTTCATAACTTTTAATTGTTGCACCCTTCAGTGAGTTACTAGATCACAGTATATTTTACCATTTTCCTTCTGTGGAGAAGACAATATAGAAGACAAGAAAGGTTGTTTAAATTTTTCTTCAGCATAAATAATTCTGGGATGAACTTGGTGCATAAGATTATATTTCCATATTTTGGATTATTTTCTTAAGATACATTACAAGATATGGTATTATCGAGGTCAAAGGGATTCAGTATTTGTCTCTTCCTACTTTTGCCAGTATACTTCCCAGAAGTTGTACTGTTTTATGCTGTCTTCTCAGCATTGTAGAAGAGAGCTAGTTTTACTCCATCCCTATCAACATTAGGTATTATTTTTGAGATCTTTCTCCCCTCAAAAAAGTATTTTAAATCTCACTTTTTGATCATTGGCAAGGCTGAATATTTTTTTGAATGTACTTCCTTTTATATGTCCGTGTTCTTAAGTTTACTCTGTGGTTCTGTTTTGCATTTAGATGTTCATTTGATGTTAAAAATGAGACCAATAACATTATAATCTATGAAAGTATTATGAAACTGCCTCTGGAAGTAACAAAAACTGAGACTTTCTAACCTTTTATTTTTGATGTGCTTTTTTATTTTATTCAGGCAACTCATTCAGGACACCCTAAAAGGGATACTTTAATCCTTTTACTCTTTTTTTTTTTTTGCCTTATTTCCTTAATTTTTTGTTTTCCTAATCTTTAAGCTTGAAATTACAGTTTATTTTCTGATTTTATAAAAAGGAGATGAAGATTGAGAGGACTTATGATTGAATTTAAAATCACAGAGGATGTATGTCAAGATGAACACGAATTTATTTACTGGTGTACCAAGATGAGGGGGGACCCCTCAGAGGATGAGCAAGTTAAACTTGGGTCCCAAAGGGGCAGCCAACTGGTGAAACGTTTTTAACTTCTGTAGGTAGCCTGGACTCACATTTCAGGAGTCATAGGTGAGTTAGAACAAGGAGGTACTTAATGAGATGTGAAAGATGCCTGTTACAGTATTGAGGCTAATGTGGAAGAGACCAGCTCTCATGCCCCGTACAAAGAAACCCCCAAGTTTGTCAGACTCCTGCATCAGATTCAGTAGGAACTTTTTCTGTTCTTTTTGCACATTTGGAATTAATAATTTGTCAAACTGTTAGTCACCATGGGGCCTGTGTTCTTTGTCTTGTTTTGTTAAATCATTATATAGAAAGAAAAAGATGACAAGTGGAAAAGAGGAAGTGAACCAGCTCCAGAGAAAAAAATGGAACCTGTTGTTTTTGAGAAAGTTAAAATGGTAAGTGGGAAAGTTTTTGCACTAGGTGGATGGCCTCGGATGTGTTTATATGCGGAGGGGAGGGGAAGGAGGCTTTCTAGTGGGTGGGGTGGGGTTGGTAGCATATTGCACCATTTTACCTGGGGCCAAAGGGTTCCACATTTAGATTAGATTGCCGGCTGCCATTTCTGATACTTTCCCATTGCCTTGCTGTTGCCTGATCTGCTCCGTGATGCTTCTTTCTGGGGCCAGTTGGGGGTTTGGGAACTGCATCAGTCCCATCTGAGCAAGAGGCATGGTCCATGCCAGAATGCCGTGACTGTGTGACACCTCCTGAAGCAGATGCTACATGCATCCTCTCTCGTTAGACGCTCTCTACCTCATTTTCCTGTTGCAGTTAAGAACAGTCCGAAGCCAGGCCATACTGATCCATTTTAATCCTTCTGTATTCTTGCTTTGTCATCTTGAAGTAGACACCTTTCTTTTTTCACAGGACATTGTGGCTGTAGTAGTGGATACTCTAATATAAGAGCTTGGAATCTTGGGAGAGAGGACTTTTTACTATTTGCTTAAGGAAGCGTCTTTGATTATCATTCTGAATCGTACTGTCTGCAGAACCCAGTCATTAATGATACGGGCAGAGTGAATTAGGTAATCTTTAAACTGATCTCCCTTTTGGTATTAAAGTTTTTCTAATCACTGGGAGATTTGTTGGCTCTCGGCTCTTACACCACCAGACACCTATCTTTATTCTTAGCTTTTCCTGGGATCAAAACCTGCTGTTTTTGTTGGCTCTCCTGATCTGTGGTTGTCTTGGTTTCAGAAAGCCAAACAAGCACAGATGATATCTTTTTCACTTTAGGTTTGGTTAATGCACTTGTGCTTCCTAATGTGATTCTTTCGCCTGACACTTCCTGAGTTTTCTTTCTTTGGAACTCTGAGGAATACCACAAGAACACCTGTGGCTTTACAGTGATGAAGGAAAAAAAGCGTTCAAAAACACCTGCTTACTTCTTTCTTTAACATATTTTCACCTTAGCCACAGAAAAAAGAAGATCCACAGCTACCTCGGAAAAGCTCCCCGAAATCCTCAGCCCCTGTCATGGATTTGTTGGGCCTTGGTAAGAGTCAGACTTTTCCCACTTCCATAATCTTACACATTATGATGAATTCTCTGTCACCCTGGGAAGATAGGTAGTGATGGGATTCTTCAGTTTGTGTCTTCATCGCTAAGATTGTTCTCTCATGTTTTTCCTGTTGTTTTACATCTGAGCAGTCATTCTAAGAAGTGTTTACACTTTTCAGAGCGACAGTATAGCGTAGTGGTTTGGAGTCAGAGTCCCATCTCTGCCACTTACTATCTTTGTGACCCTGGTTAGTTTACTTAACCTCTGAACATTGCTTTCCTAATCTGTCATAAGGATGATAACCATCTGTACTTCAAAAGTGTTGTTGGGAGGATTCAATGAGATCGTTCCTTTCAAGCTCTTTGCCCCTTGCCTGGCACAAACTAAGCATTCAGTAAATGTTAGCAAGTTTCACTAAACCAGCACCCAGGAGCCATGTCCCCATCTCTCTCGTTTTTCAGGTGCATCCTGTTTCTGAGATGGCCTATTAACCTTGTGGTTATTTTTCTCCAAACCTTTAAAACCCTGAACTAGTGGTTCTGCCCCTTTCAGAAATAGAACCTATTCTTTATCTTTCGCAGATATCACAGCTGTACTTTGGTTTCAGTGCATTTCTGCTGATTTAGGTTATTGACTGTTTAGGTTTATAATTTCTATACCTTCCATTTATCTCTGAAAAAAAGAAATGAAAGCTACACAGCTTTCTGCCTCATATAGCCAGAAGGGAGCCAGCCAGCCCCTTTGCTAGGAGGTTGATACGGCCTTCAGGTCTGGGTTTCTGCTGCCCCATCCCAGATAGCTGGGCCACAGGCTTCTCCAGCATGCTCCTGGGAAGGTAAGGTGAAGCCTTTTTTGAGATGCCCCATCCAAGCTAAATGGTTTCTGAAGCCTAGATTTCCAGGTCCCTGATGGAGCATATAGGTTTTCTCTGCTTTGTGTCTAGAATAGAAGGAAGGCATGGGCTTAATGAGCAGTGCTACAGTTGAGCTTTGCTCTCTCTTTCCAGATGCTCCTGTGTCCTGCTCCATGGCAAACAATAAGACCAGCAATACCCTAGAGAAGGATTTAGACCTTTTGGCTTCTGTTCCATCCCCCTCTTCTTCAGTTTCCAGAAAGGTGAGTCATGTGGGCGCCTTAGAATTAAAGAACATTCTGAAAAGAATAATTTTGATAATATGGAACCAGTTCATACTTCCTTGATGGAATTGGACTTTGGTTTTCTTAATTCTTGATTCTTCCCTTAACCCTGTCATCTCTGTTACAGCCTAGGATTACTATCATTCCATTTTGTCTCCTGCCCCCCAAAAAGTGGGTCCTTTGAGTGGGCTTCTGTTGAAGGTGTGTCACACTGTAAAGGATGGTACTTGTCAGCTCCCCAGCATGAGGGTTACTGCCAGAGAATTTGGAGGTGTGAAAGACTTGAAACTGTTAATGGCTACCATTTGTGGAATACCTGCTTATAACCAGGCACAGCGCTAGGTGATTTTGTATATCTATTTGCATATTTCTTTTATAACTGAAAATATTTACCACAGCCCTGCAAAATGGGTATTTTATAGATGAGGAAACATTAATTCAGAAAAGTTATGACTAGCCTCTCGTTATGCAACTAGTAAATGGCTGTGCTGGGATCTAAACTCAGTTCTCTGTGACTGCGTCATTTGTAGATTTTTGTTTGTTTGTTTGTTTTTCACCAAATCACATTGTTCGACTGTAGAATAAAGAATGGTACCAGAGCTTAACTATCAGGTGTTTTCAATATTTGTGTGGTAGAAATGTCAGAAAGCTATTCACTTGCCCATGAATGTAGAAGCAGCAGAGAAGTGAGGGCGGTCCTTACCGAGACCTCTGTGAGGACCGTTCCAATTCTCCCCTCTCCCCCTGCTCTCTTTGCCCTAAGGTTGTAGGTTCCATGCCAACTCCAGGGAGTGCTGGCTCTGTTCCTGAAAACCTGAACCTGTTTCCAGAGCCAGGGAGCAAATCAGAAGAAACAGGCAAGAAACAACTCTCTAAAGACTCCATCCTTTCGCTGTATGGATCCCAGACACCTCAAATGCCTGCCCAGGGTAGGTTTCATGGGGGTGGTGGCATTATACTAGATAGAGACATGAGGACTTATGTGCAGGAATTATTTGTGTAATAGAGGGTAGTTGCTTTGGGGGCCCAGGACATTATACCCTAAACAGGCCTGAACATGACATTCTTTGTGAAGCTACAAAGTGTCAGGAGGTAGATATTAATGTAACTCAGAGCCATACTTTCGTGGGGTCTGGTGTCACACCTCTATGAAGTCTGACTCAAGGTCTGGACCTGGACCCTGAAAGGAAAGTGGCTAGGTCAGCAGTCCACTGGTAAGCCACTGCAAGTCTTGTAGGGAATCTAAGTGTTCTGCTATGTAAAAGAGCATTCTGAGTTGAGTAGAAATGCTACTGAGAAATTTTAGCCAGAAAGGAGTAGCCAGTGGGTTTGGACTGACTTGGTACACTTTCCTCTTAATAGTTCTCTGTTTGTTTTCTTGGCAGCAATGTTCATGGCTCCAGCTCAGATGGCGTATCCCACAGCGTACCCCAGCTTCCCTGGGGTCACACCTCCTAACAGCATAATGGGGAGCATGATGCCCCCGCCAGTAGGCATGGTAGCTCAGCCAGGAGCTTCTGGCATGGTTGCCCCCATGGCCATGCCTGCAGGCTATATGGGTGGCATGCAGGCTTCAATGATGGGTGTGCCAAATGGAATGATGACCACTCAGCAGGCTGGCTACATGGCAGGCATGGCAGCTGTGCCGCAGACTATGTATGGGGTTCAGCCAGCTCAGCAGCTGCAGTGGAACCTTACTCAGGTAAGCTACCCCATTTTCCTCGGGACAAGAGTGTTGAGCCTTCCTCAAGGCTGTCTCACGTCATCACTCCCTTATCCTTTGAACCCTTATAACATAAAGGAGATAATGCAGAGACATTCTTAGGTTTGCCACCCTTCCCCACCCTTTTTTTTCCTAGAAGGTCTACCTAATGTCAGACTTTCTGAGGAGTTCTGGGTTACTGTAGAATGAGGGTAATTGCCTCAATCTAAATTTCTCCACACATTCCTCAAAACAAAAATTTAAAAAACCCTATATAGGTAAATAAGGAATGCAAATAAAACCACTCATAACCCATGACTGCCACATCTAGTAGACAGAATACTGCAAACTTCAAATTACATGGTAGTAAACACCCAAATCCGGCAGAGCCAGCATAAGAGTGACTATGTGGAAAGAGGAGAGGGAGCAGGGCCTGGAGGTGACAGAACATAGATAAAATCACCCCCTGGAAAGAAGACCTACCCTGATTAGAGGCATGATGAGAAAAGGTCTGAGACTTAGCAATTAGAACTCGTTATGTGGAGAATCAAAAATGAGGGGCTTGAAATATATGGGCTTAAAGGTGGTAGCTCTGGAAAAGCATTGCTTCTAGGGTAATGGGGGTGACTTGGAATCTTTTTTTTTTTTTAAAGATTTTTTTTTATTTATTCATTTGAGACACAGAGATACAGAGAGAGAGAGTAGGGGGAGAAGCAGAGGAAGGGAAAGAAGCAGGCCCCCCGCTAAGCGGGGAGCCCAATGCAGGGCTCGATCCCAGGACCCTGGGATCATGACCTGAGCCGAAGGCAGACGCTTAACCATCTGAGCCACCCAGGCGCCCTGGGTGACTTGGAATCTTAAGCAGGCCCCATGCCCAGCCAGCGTGGAGCCTGACTCGGCTTGATCTCACGACCCTCATGACCTGAGCCAGAACTGAGAGCTGGATGCTTAATCGACTGAGCTACCCAGGCCTCCCCTATGGGGGTGACTTAGAAGGAAGAGGTGCTCTTTGGGGACCTGGTAGTGAAGGAAAAGTAAGAAATGAGAAGTGGAAAAAGGAATCACAAAATGAGAAGATAAACCATCCTCTCCCCTCCTTCCAAATAATTTCACTATACCAACAGAAGAGGGTGCTCTTGAACTAAGAAATCTAGTAAGCCTCCCGGAACTCTCACACCTATTATTCCTGATTCGGAAAAATAAGGCACTACAAAATAAATAGAAAGTGGCAGGTGACATTTATACAAACTGCTATGAGAAGAAAATAGAAAATGAAAATCAAAACATACCAAGAAATGAAAATTCTCCCTCCCAAAACATCCATGAACAGAAGAAAACTGTTACACAAGCCACCAACGTGAATGAAATGTCCTTTAACACTTGAAGACGAAACAGCTTGAATCAGAAATTTAAAAACTTAGAACCAAAATGGACAAAAAACTGGAAGTTATGAAATGATAACTTTATTGAATTCAGGAAAGAAATTGAAGAAAGACACAATTATCTTAGAAATAAAGTCTGAATTACAAGTTAGCCAAAGGAGAATAGATTCAACTGAAAATATATTTGCCATTGAAGAAAGGTATGACACAGGTCAGAGAATGGAAACTAAATATAGGAAGCAAGAAAATAAATCCAAGAGAAGGTAATGTAGAAATTAAGCAAAGAAGGCCTAACATAAATATATTTGGAGACTCCAAAGAAGAAAAACTAAATAGTGGAGCAGAATTAATATATTTAAATCTATAATACCAGAAAATATCCTATAAATAAAAGACTTCAATATAATATTGAAGGAGCCCACTGTGTATGGAAAAGCTGACCCAGAATGGTCAACTCTAACATATATCCCAGTAAACTTTTAGATTTTATGGAACAAGAAAAATTCTCAGGGCTCCAACCCTCTTTTTACCTCCCATCCCCCCAGATCTGCCATTTTTTAAAGAAAAAAAGAACACTCAGCTTGACATTAGACTTCTAACAGCAACATTAAAAAAAAAAAAAAGCAATGGGAGTAGTATTTTCAAGATACTCACATACATGTGAGACAAGTATTTTACAGCCAGACAAGCTATCCTTTCAGGATTGAGGCTGTTTAAAAAATCTTAAATATGCAAGAAATCAGAGAATATCATACTTACAAGTCTTTCCTGTGGAATTTACCAGAAGATAAGCTTCATCCATCTAAGAGGTGAGTGGGGACATTTTGGCAAAAGGACTGATGGTGAATAAATGTTTAATTGAGAATCTAAGACTAAAACTAAGGTAATGACAAGGATAGAAAAACATATGTTTTACTCAGAACAAACAATGGTAACAGGAGGAGAAGATAAAAAAAGAGGAGGAGAAGGTAAAAAGGAGGAGGTAGGATAAATTGATGGTTGCATAGGAAATAGGTGGAAGTTAAAGGGTGTAATAAGCTGACACGCCAAATGGTAGAAGCTTGAGTACAGAATAAAGGAAGCAAAAGACAGAAATTATTAGTATAAAGGTAACCACTAGAACAAAAAATGAAGCTTTATAAATACCAAAGGAGTACTTTACAACAAAATGGAATACATAGACTATGAAGTACAGCAAATATAACAAACACAGTAAAAATGTAACATGATAGAATTAAGACCAAACATCAGTCATATCAACAGGTAGCTCTTCTATGAAAAGAAAAAGATGTTTAAATTGGCTTACAAAGCAATGCCTAATTTTATACTAGATACAAAAAATCCACTGAAACAAAGTGATTTAAAGTCTGAACACAAAGATGGGCAAAGAGTCGGAGTGGCATGTGTGCGTGCCCACATGTATGCGTGCACACGCTGTCTTTCTCAGGTTTGGGTGACAATGTTCACCTGCTGTATAAAAACTATTTTCATGTTTCCCTTTCTCTGTAGTCTGGAAGAGTTTATATAGGTCTTTGGAGATTGGGTAGAATTCCCACGTGCAATTGTGCAGGCCTTTTGCTTTTTTATGTAGTAATTCTTTGATAGCATTCTCTCTTTGTTCTATGAAAGTCAGCTTTGGAAAACTCTGTTTACCTAGATTAGCTAATTTATCAGGAGTTTCAAATTCATTTATCAAAGGTTAAGCCAACCAGTCTGTCTCATGATTTTTTAAAGTTTCCTGTTTCAATGGTTATTTCTCCCTTGTCATGTCTTATTTTGTATGTTTGTGGTTTCCTTCCCCCTTGCCCTTTCTATTAGGTTAACTAGTGGTCTATTTTGTTAATTATACATATACATATATAAAAAACCCACAGGATTTTGTTTTATTTATTCTACATTTTTTCTTTGCTTGTTTTTGACCTCAATTTTTGGTTTATCTTTATTATTTCCTTTTATATCTGCCTTTTGACTTACTCTGATCTTCTTTTTCTAGCTTTCATAGTTGGGATTTTAATTTGCTATTTTCAGTCCTTCATGTTTATTTGTATAAGTAATGAAGTGCTATGAAACTGGTGAGAACATGTCAAAAGGACACATGAGCCAACTTCTGGAGGCTCCCACTGTCCAAATATGGGACAAGTTGAACATCAATAGGAATGACACTGATGGATTATAACACTAAAGGAAATGAATCCCATGAGTCCATAGTGATACCTTTTTTGAAATGGGTGTAGGAAAGAGGGAGGGAAAGCCTTCTTTACAGAAGAATGGCAACTGGTAATTGTGGAAAGAACAGGATATTCACATATTCTCAAAGAAAGACCCTTTAGATTACTTACTAATTACAATAAAAAAAAAAACAAACGAACCATGGTGGATACTACCCGTGGTAGCGGGTGCTCAAATGTAAGATTACCGGGCGCCTGGGTGGCTCAGTTTGTTAAGCGACTGCCTTCGGCTCAGGTCATGATCCTGGAGTCCCGGGATCGAGTCCCGCATCGGGCTCCCTGTTCGGCGGGGAGTCTGCTTCTCCC